GTAAGTCAAAGAGCTGAATTATTTCTATTCCCCAAGGAACCTTTTAATTAGAAAAATATAGAAGAGTACAAAAACAGAAAACAAAGTTCCCATAAACAGACATGTGATTGTTAGTAACATGCTGTATATTATGTTTAATTGCAGGAATGTGAGCTTTTATGTTTTCACCATCATTATGTAGACATTTCGATATAGTCACTGAGGTTATCATAGGGTTTTAACATGCAAAATAAGATAAATTAGAACAAATCAATCATTTAAGTTTGTTGTAAATTCCCTATCAGTTGCAATGTGTAGATTGTTTATATTTTATAGAGTAGCAAATTTCTTAAAAATTCAAAACAGCAAATACTTTTTGATCACCATGCTTACATACTAGATACATAATATATATGACCTATACATAATTTGTTGTCTGTATGTGTCAAAATTCATATATATAACTACATAAACCAAAGTGGAATTTTCTTACTCTGATTCTCAAGCTTACTTCCCACAGGTAACCAGTACTGAAGTTTGGTATAAATCCTTTCAGGCTCTATTTTTTTTTTACAAGTAGAGCTAAAATTGTAATCCAGGTCAATGTGCTCCAAATTCTGTGTTCTTTCCATTAAGTGAGATAATGTGTGTAAAGTACCAGCAAATGCCTAGTGTGTAGTAAGCACTCAGTAAGCTGTAGTTTTGTTTCACTTCTATCAACACTGCTGAATGGAATTAGTGATCAAATCAGTGAATTCTTGGTGCAAGTTTTGTTCTCAGTACCACACTGGCTATAGGATGTACTTGAGAAGGTGTGAAGGGTACAGAATGTCATTTTAATAATACCTACAGGTAAGGGAGTCCAGACAGAAGCCTGGCCGGGAGGATACTAGGTAACCTGGTAACAGAGCAGGGCGTGAAGGCTGACCTTCAAGGCCACAGTGATCTTACCCCTTAATCCTCCAGGTGTTGTCAATGACAGTTCCCTCGCTTTTGATAAAGACGCATTGCAGGCATATGGCAGTTTCCACGTGGGCCTTCGATGTGGCGAATGGAACTGCAAGCAGATAGGTTAGGGGGGTCCCCAGAGAGAGAGAACTAGGAATGGCTTTCTTGACATAAGAGAACCCACTTTGTGATCTAAGCCTGGCCACAGTGCTTGCCCTTGAACGGGTCTCAGTCATTAATCTTAAGGGAACAAAGGAATGCAGGAACAGAGAAGAGGCAGTCAAAAGTAGTATAGTGATGGGCTTCCCTGGTGGCGCGGTGGTTGAGAGTCCGCTTGCCGATGCAGGGGACACGGGTTCGTGCCCCGGTCTGGGAAGATCCCACATGCCGCGGAGCGGCTGGGCCCGTGAGCCATGGCCGCTGAGCCTGCGCGTCCGGAGCCTGTGCTCCGCAATGGGAGAGGCCACGACAGTGAGAGGGCCGTGTACCACAAAAACAATAAAAAATAAAAAAGTAGTGCAGTGATAAGCAGAGTCCTAGCTCCCCTTCGAGGGATAGGCCTAATAATACATCCTTGGGAACTAAGGCCCCCTCCCCAGTGGAGGTTGGAACAATGAAGGTGACCCTCCTGACTTCAATCAACTAGAGCTTGGACTCTGTCGACCTTTGCCCCAATTCTATGCTGAGTTCTCCTCTGCTCAAACCCCTCATGAGTATGCATGTGCCCTAGCTTAAAACTTCCTCAGTTTTTCTGTCGGGGAGACACTGCCTTAAGATTCCCGGTGTTCTCCTTACTTGCTGCAAGTAATAGTAAACCCCTCCTTCTCTCCATCTTTGGCTTGCTTGTGTCTATTGGCTCGCCAACCACCAAGAGGCGAGCCCAGTTTTTGGGTAACAAAACCACCAGCCTGTGGAGGCTCGAACTCCATCGGATATGCCTGGCTTCATGGCCCACGTAACTTTAATAACATGACTTCAAATCCAGCTGCCTTTGCTGCTCAGATCCGCCTCTGCACCATCCCCTCCCGGGGTGTGGACCCATCTCTGGAGGCCATCTCTGGAGTAAAATCTCACTAAGTTGAGCCTTCAAACAGGGATGGCACACTTGATCTTTGTTAACAGAGTTCCTACACCAGTGAATTTTCAGGACTCTATTAGCCAGTAAGAGCAATTCAGGCTAAAATTAGTATCTTCCTCCAAGGAGAGCTCAGTAAATGAAAGGTTCTGTAACCATGTCTTCCTAGATCTAGAAATGGATTCTTATGTGTAAGCGTTGTATTTTTTAAAAATTAATTAATTTTTGGCTGCGTTAGGTCTTTGTTGCTGCGTGTGGGCTTCCTCTAGTTGCAGCGAACGGGGGTTAGTCTTCATTGCGGTGTGCGGGCTTCTCATTGCAGTGGCTTCTCTTGTTGCGAAGCACGGGCTCTAGGCACGCGGGCTTCGGTAGTTGTGGCATGTGGGCTCAGTAGTTGTGGCACACGGGCTTAGTTGCTCCATGGCATGTGGGATCTTCGTGGACAAGGGCTTGAACCCGTGTCCCCTGCATTGATTGGCAGGTGGATTCTCAACCACTGCGCCACCAGGGAAGCCCCGTAAGCGTTGTATTTTTGTGACACTGAATAGTGTCAAGCACACCTCTTACAGAACTTTAACAATAGCATGACTTAATTTTATAAAACTCATAAATGAGTAAATGAATGACTAGGGCCAAATTCCTAGAACTCCCGAGAAGTGCTCAGAATTCCAGGATGCCTGAAGCTCAGTCACCAGCCCCCTCCTGCTTGCCTCAGGCGCTGTGCCTTGGGTTGCAGGTCTTCCCTCCTGAGCTCTCCTAGAAATAATGCAAAACATTGTTTAAATATACTGGAATTTAGCATTTTAATTTAGTTAGCCTGGCCTTCTTATCCCAGATCGGACTGGATTTGCAGGAGGTTACAGATTAATTTATAAAGAAAAATTTCAAAGCAGAGAAATGCGGATATGCCAGACAAAGGAAGCCAGTGGTCCGGCCCAGGCCCCGTGCTCTCTTGGTGAGAATAAAGGCATCCGTGTTATTTGTTGAAGTGTTCTGAGTTAGAGTTCTGTTTTGTTTGTAGTGACCTTGAAGGGGCTGTGTTTAGATCCTGGCTTTGTTTTGTAACCTCTACTTTATTGTTTCTGATTTTTATCAATGTTTGTGCTTGCAGTATGTTTATTTTGACAGAACCCTGTGGGCCCTAGGTACAAATTCATCGTGTGTAGGTAGCACATCTTAGAACCATCATCATGTCTACGTTCAGTATTTCCATCCTGAAGTCTTTCCAGTCCAGAAGACCAAGCTTATTTGACCTGGTTTGAAAAGGTGTGTAGATATATAATTTTATCATTCTTATATATTCCCATGAAGAAGGAGTTCTTTAATTTCTACTGGGTAGATTATTCTTCAGTGGGTGTTCTGGGGTTTCACATCAGTTTGTAATATTTGTGCCTGGTGGGCCCGGAGATATTTGTGTGTCTGTGTGTTTATCTCCTGACCCTTGCGACTCACTGAGAAGGGAAGGTGGGGACCACTGGGCTCTTGCCACGGCCTTGCTTTCCAGGTAGCTTGTTGGTATGTAAAATTCGGCTTTCCCCCTCCATGCCCTAACCACTAACCCTGACAGGGCCCCTGTGCCCTGGGTCTGTTCTCGGGGCTCCTGCAGGCCTCTTCCAAAGACAGACTCAGAGCCTCTTTTCATTTTAAAAATTTTGCTGCTAATCATTTCTGGAAAAACCCAACAGGTACAGTTAATTTTTTTTTTCTTTCAGAGTAGTAAAGATACAAAGCTTAAGAAAATGTTTATAGAAGCCTAGAGTTCTGGATTCTTTTTATAAAATGTACTTTTAAATCCCGCAAGTAATACACGTTTGGTGTGAAAACATAAGCAATACTGACGTATACCGAGTTAAAAGTTTCTCTATGGATGGTAATTTGCTGGGCAGAGCGTTTGCACATTAAAATTGTGATAGATACTAACAAATGGATGCCTTCCAAAAGTGTTGTACTGTTTACACGCCACCAGCAGCTTATTTCCCTGCACAGCTACCAGTTTCCCTAGGTGCTTCCCAACACTGGGTACAGCTTTGCAAATGTTTACCACTTTGATAGGCAGGAAAAGGGCATTTCATGTTTATTTGCATTTCCCTCATTACAATAGAGTTGAATATCTTTTTATATTTTATTGTTTGGCTCTTTTGTGAGACATGAAATCAAAGTCATCTTGTACTTGGGAATGTGTGAGGTACCTCTCCTGCTTCTGAGTTTTGGTGAGAGGCCAGAGGACACTTCGGGCGTGTCCTCTTCTGCCCCAGGCTGCGGTTCGGGCGGGGGCCCTGCCACATTCGCCGTGACTGTAACCTATCTTACCTAGAAAAAGTAACAATTTTCGGCTGTCATAATTAGCTGTCAAAGTCCCTTCAACTGCCTGTGAACTACACCACGTGTGCCACATCTTACTTGCTCGTCAACGTCAGGCTTCCCGAATGCGAGGGACCAGCGAGCACCACGGCGGGTTCCAAGGCGGCCTGGCCAGCGCAGCTGCCCACTTTTCCCTCGGACCCTGGGCTCCTAACGTGGAGACGTTGGAAGCTTGCGTCCCTCCCCCTGCCTATGGCTGAACACGGTCCCTGCACCCGCCCCGGCCGAGCCCACCGCCTGCTGCCCATCCTGGGGCTCGGCCGCACCCTCCCCCAGGCAGGTCCACGTGCCCAGCGCCTCCGCCCTCGGGGCTCCCGGCCACCATTCGCGCAGTTTCCCACCCGAACGGCTGGGCTGCTGCGCAGCCCGGGGACCACCAGGCGCGGGGGCGGAGCGCCCTGGCGGGAACTGGAACCGCTTCCAGTCCCGCCCACCGCGCCCTCGAGCCACGGACCCAGGGGTGTGCGCATGCGCACTATGCCCGCTCCGCGTCCGGCGGCTGTCGCCATGGTGACCGGAGCCCCGGCCGCCCCGCCCCCAGCGCCGCTGCCCGCAGACCTGGCCGCGCCCCCCCCGCAGGGTGAGGGGTTAGGGGGTCAGCTCGGGTTGCGGGGGATCCCGGGCTGAGGGGTGAGGAGGTCCGCCCGGGTTGCGGGGGCCTCGGACTGAGGGGTGAGCGGGGGCGGTCCGAGATGAGTGGGGGCCAGGTTAAGGGGGCCCGGGTGAGAGGTGATCCCGGGTGGAGGGTGAGGGGGTCGGCCGGGGGGTTCGGGGATCATCCCGAGGTGTTGAGGGGCCCGTGGTGGGGGGTGAGGTGTGAGGGGGTCAGCTTGGGGTGAGGACCCGAGGTAAGGACCTCGTGGAGTGATGTGGGGGGCGGGGACCTCGCTGAGAGGAGGAGGAGCCTCGTTGGAGGTGTGGGAGGGTCGGTCGGGGTCAGGGCCTGGCCGGAGGGGCGGTGACTTGGGGGTGGGGGGACCGCGAGCCGGGGAAATGGGGGCCCGGGGGGTGTGGCCCGGCCTGGAGGTGGGCCCGGTCCCGGGCGTACGGTGGGTCTCGCTGGGTGCGGGGACCGGGTCCGGTCCGGGAGGGGCCGGGGCGGGGTGGGGGTGGGGAGGGCCCGGTCCTGGAGGTGGGCCCGCCCCCCAGCCCGGCCCCGCCCGGCCCCACTGGCCGCGTCCGGTCCTGCAGGAGCCGCAGCCGGTGCGTCCGCGCTGCGGGCCGGCCGAGGAGGGGCGCGCACGGACGCACGGACGCACGGACGCTGGCGCCCGCCCGGGAGCATGTGGAAGCTGGGCCGGAGCCGGGTGCTCCTGGACGAGCCCCCCGAGGAGGAGGATGGCCTGCGGGCGGGGCCGCCGCCCTCCGTCGCCCCCGCCGCCGCCGCCGCCGCCGCCGCCGCCGCGCAGGTGAGGGGGCGCGGGTCGGGGAGGGCGCGGGTCGGGGAGGGCGCAGGTGAGGCCTGCGCTGCGTGGTTGGAGAGGCTCACAGGTGGGGTGCGCAGGTGAGGCCCGCGCCGCGCGGCCCGTTAGGATCCCGAGGTTGGTCCGGGGGCCACCGCGTGGCTCGTGGTGACCCCCCACGTTAGGAGTGACTGAACCCCGCGCCCCGCCACCCCCTTCGCGCGTGTTCGGGACCGCGGGCGCAGTCCCCGGAGGTGGTAGGGCACAGGGCGCGCACCCAGGAACCTCGGGCCGTGGCCTTGCCGCGGACGGGGACCGCGCCACGCCGGGGCGGACTCACGGGCAAGGCCTGGACCGGTGGGGGCCAAAGCAGCGCGCTTAGTGTGCTAAATACTTGTTTGTTTAAGCAACAGACCTTCACCTATGTTTAAACCTTTGGCTGGAGGAAGAAGGCAGATGTCCTTTATACAGAAAGACACTGGCCTTACAAGTTCAGAGGTGTGCCTGGAATGTTTAGAATTTTTTAATTAAAAAGGATCCCAGGTGGATCCTGTCTGCGCTACAGATGCTTGCCTCCACCTCATCCCCAACGCAGCGTTCCTTTCCATGTGCAGTGAAATTCAGCTCTTTATTTTATTTTTAAAATGACGGTGGTCATACAGTTTCTTGTTTGTTAAATGTTTGGAAACTCTCCTGTTGCTGGTGGCCTGCAACGGAAGTTAATGGGGATCGGTATCTTTCTTCTCAGGACTTGTAAATAGTTCACCAGATTGTTTCTTTCCCAGTTGGTTCTAAATAACTTACCTTGGAACTGAAGTTGTCTCGTCTTGATAAGACATTTTTTATAGGAGTTAAATGCCCTTGATTAAACATTTAAATATGGTCCCTATCTGAAGTGTCTTTCAGAAATCAAGTTTTGGTGGTATTGGTGCTCACCTTACTCTTTATTTTTTAAATCTCAAAATGTTATGGTTACTTCATTTTTATAAATTTATTTATTTATTTATTTATTTTTGGCTGCGTTGGGTCTTCATTGCTGCACGCGGGCGTTCTCTAGTTGTGGCGAGCGGGGGCTATTCTTCGTTGCGGTGCGTGGGCTTCTCATCGCGGTGGCTTCTCTTGTTGGGGAGCATGGGCTCTAGGCACGCGGGCTCAGTAGTTGTGGCTCACGGGCTCTAGGGCGCAGGCTCAGTAGTTGTGGCGCACGGGCTTAGCTGCTCCGTAGCATGTGGGATCTTCCTGGACCAGGGCTGCAACCCGTGTCCCCTGCATTGGCAGGTGGATTCTTAACCACTGTGCCATCAGGGAAGCCCTTTATGGTTACTTTAAACAGCAGCTCTCTTAAGTATAATGTTGAGAATTTATATGCAGTTTAAGTGTTGTTATAGAGTGATTTAATTTTGTAAATAACTATTATTGGTCAAAGATAAGCAATATTTGTTGTTTCTGAACGAACTATTAAAATTTTTAAATTGATTCTTCCTATGTTCTGCTTGTATTTCTCCTAATGAATCCTAAAACACGTTTTTTCCTCTTAAGTTAAATTACTTACAGGGAAAAGTTGGAAGGATAGGAGATTGAACACCCACATATATACTTTCTAGACTCAACCATTAGTGATACATTTATTAAAACTTTTTTCCCAATCTTCAAGTTTACAGAATTACAATCTATACCTTTTTTTCTCACTGTGTATTTGTGTGTGTGTTTTAATAGTCTTTATTTTTAGGTACCCAGCAATTGAGTGGAAAATGCAGAGTTCCCATATACCCCCTGTCCCCATACAGACACAACCTCCCCCTGATACTAGCAAAATCCCATTTGTTACAACCAGTGAACCTCTATGGACACATCATTATCGCCCAGAGTCCACAATTTACATTAGGGTTCTCTCTTGGTGTTGTTCGTTCTGTGGGTCTGAACAAATGTGTAATGACATGAACTCACCATTATAGTGCCATACAGAGGAGGTTCACGCCTGAAAAACCCTCTGTGCTCTGCCTGTTCACCCCTTCCTACAGCCCCACAACCACTGATCTTTTTAGCCTCCGTAGTTTTGTCTTCTCCAGAATGTCAGAGTTGAATCATAAAATATGCAGCTTTTATAGATTGGTTTCTCTTACTCACTGAGCAGTATATTTAAGGGTCCTCCCTGTCTTTTCACGGCTTGGTAATTCATTTCTTTTTAATGCTGAATAATATTCCATCGTCTGCATGTACCAGTTTACCTGTTCACCTACAGAAGGGCATCTTGGTTGCTTCCACGTTTTGGCAGTTGTATATAAAGCTGCTGTAAAACATCATGTGCAGGGTTTTGTGTGGACATTAGTTTTTAACTCACTTGGATAAATACCAAGGAGTGATTCCTAGATCATAGGCTAAGAGTATGTTTTGTTTTGTAAGAAACCAGACCGTCTCCAAAGTGACTGTGCCACTCTGCATGCCCACCAGCAGTAAATGAGGGTTCCTCTTGCGTCCTGTCCTTGCATTCTAATAGGTGTGTAGTGGCATCTCGTTTAATTTGCATTTCCCTGATGACACGTGATGTGGACCATCTCTTTATGTTGCTCATTTGCCATCTGTATGTCTTCTTTGGTGAGACGTCTGGTCAGATTTTTTTGCCCCATTTTTTGAGTTGCTTCTTCTCCTTATTGTTGAGTTTTAAGAGTTCTTCGTGTATTTTGGATAACAGTCCTTTATCAGATGTCTTTTCCAAATATTTTCTCCCAGTCTGTGGCTTGTCTTTCCATTTTCTTAACATTATGTTTCACAGAGCAGAAGTTTTTAATTTTAATGAAGTCCAGGTTATCAGTTATTTCTTTCATAGATCATGTCTTTGGTGGTGTTTCCCCAAAGCCGTCAGCACACCCAAAGTCATCCGGGTTTTATCCTGTATTATCTTCTAGGAGTGAGATCTGACTGCAGCTTCTGTGTTACTTTATTAAGGGTATCTATAGTTTGATGTGTTGAAAACTTCGCTATAGAAAAGCAGACTTTTTGTGGTAAGTCAGTCATACTCTAAATTGAGTTCATCAGGTAGATTGATCTTTATCCCAAAGCCAGCTTCTCTTAGCATTAAACTTTAAAATTCATGACAAGTCTACCAATAAACTTCTGCTGGCAAAATTTTATTTTAAAGTTGAAAGAGGTAGGAATTCATACGAGAAGAATTTAATGGATCTGTTAAATTGTGTCTCATTAGAAAGACGGTCTCATCTGTTTCATTTTCAGTCTCCGGCGGCCCGCCACCACCCCTCCACCCCTGTCAGCCCGCTCATATTAAACATGTAGGCTCAGAGTACACTTTGTCTTATTCTAGAAAGGCATTTAGTTTGTATTCAAATCTGGTCTGTTCGACCTACTTGAAAATCAGGTCACATGGCTGTAATCTGTGTTGTTTTTTTAAAAAGAAAAAAATAGCTTAATGTTAGGTTCTAATAAGTTTGAAGTGTGAGGCATTCAGTTATTACTTGGATTTAAGGAACACTTGACTGTACTAAAATAGCTTTAACATTATAGAAAATAAATTTCTCTGAGCATTTCTTTAGGCAATTGGCCTTTTTTGTCATGAATACACATCTGTTTTGTAACAGTGGGGTTTTTAAGGTGAATCATTTATTGTAATCATTTAAAAAAGAGAGACAAGTTTTAATGAGTCTAATTAAAAAGAAATCTGCTATGCATATGGTAAAAGATTTCTGGATATTAAATGCCGGGTCTTAACTTCTTCCTCTTTCCAGTGGGAAGTATTGTTACCTTTTTTTATATAGCTATCCATGAAACATTTATGCATATACATAAATGTATGTTTAAAATCGTACATTTGTTTTCCCACGACAAACATTTTTCTGCACTTTAAATTGTTCCCTCGATAAATAATATGTGTACCATGGAACACTTCCTTCTTAGCACTGCAGCTGAAAAAAATCATCTTTAAGCCTGTGTATTATTAAATCTAATTGGGCTCCTTCTGGTGGATACGGAGTTGCTGAGTCTTCTTTAGGCCCTGCTCCGGGGTCTGTGAGTGGTGAGAAGGAAATGGGGGTCTGCGATGAGATCCGCGTGCTGAGGTTTGGGCCGGCCTTCACTTGCTTTGAGCTGCACTGCAGTGGGACTTAGTTAGCTGTACTTTAATGTCCTTAAAAACAAAACTCATGGTGTTTTTGGCATATTTTCATGTTAAAATTTTAAAAGACTTAGACATATTCTGTAGGCATTCCAAAAAAAAAAATCAGGGAACATTTCAGGTGCTTTTTACTCTGCTCTGAAGATAGGAAGAACCAAGGGGTAGTAAGTCTTAGTTGAGATGACACCGAATCTTTCTTGCGGGGTACTGTGAGAGCTCTGTTTAAGTTTACTTTATGGTGATGGGAAGAAAGGAGTGAAGTAGATGCTTGGAGGTTTATGGGAGCGCTTTAGTTGAGAAAGTAAATGCTCTAAGGCCTCACACTCTTTCTTGGGGGTGATATACTGGGGGGAACATGGGCTTTGAGGATAGACTGGGCTTTAATTAACAACTTTAAGACACTTACCCCTTGCTTTTTCCACTTAGCAATACGTTTTGGATCCGATTGTTATGTGAAGAGCTTCTTTATTCCTTCAGTGTTTGTGTGTGTTTCGGTGTTGTATGGTATTTCCTGGTATGGATATAGAGACTTTAAATGCCAGACCTCTATTGGTGACCTTTAGGAGGTTATTTCTAGTCTCTTTCTATTACAAACGTGCGCATAAATCATTTCACGTATCTGACGATAGATGTCTAGAAGTGGAGCTGCTGAGTCCAAGGGCACCTCCCTTTGTAATTTTTTTAATCAAACATTTATCATTTATTAGTTTATTTTTCTTTTTTCTTATTAGTTATCTATTTTATACACATTAGTGTGTACATGTCAATCCCAATCTCCCAATTCATACCCGCCCCCCCCCCCACTTTCCCCCCTTGCTGTCCATGTATTTGTTCTCTACATGTATGTCTCTATTTCTGCCTTGCAAACTGGTTCATCTGT